CGTACATGTTTTCTCGTACAGAGCCTTGTTCGGACCGCAAACGCGTCATTTGAATATATGGTACTCCCGAAGTATGTGAATGACATAAGATGGCGGACACCGGAAGGTAGTAGGTAGTATGTGTACCAAGTTCGAGTTAGGCCATAATTTTATTCCAATTTTAGTTCTATTACGATTTCGGGGACTAGCTAAGTGACTCCCGTAGTATTTTTACCTAAAATTATGGCCTAACCCTAACCTGGTACACATACTACGTTTAGGTATCGGCCATCTTGGTTTACATACTTCGGGAGTACCGAATATATTACCTTCTTACACATACCCTAATTTCTAGGAGTACCTCCTCGAAAGTAAATACGGATGTAAAGGCAATTCCAATAGCATGTAAAGAAACTGGAACTATGACGATCCCCCGGAAGAAAATGGAGAAATATAAAGATTAATCGATAGGACATCCCACATTAAATTGAAGTCTCCTACTGCTATTGAATTTAAACGACTATTAGAACGAGGAGTGGCATGATTTGGTCGTCAAATCGTCTCCCCACCATTGTGCAGTCGCATGGTGATTCAGGCCACTGCTGGTTGGCTACGTCTTTCCTCAACATCGGAGTACATGCCCCCTCCCACGCCTAAATTCTACCCCTCCCTCGCCTAATTTTGAGGTGTGACACCATACTTTGATTCCTAACATAAATATACCGGTAATTGTATTTGAATACCCAGAAAGTGGCACAAATATTAGGGCACATAACACTTTTTTAGTTAATTAAAAATAATTTAAAAAATAATTTTATTGCCAATTATCTACCATCCCCAAAATTTGGAAACGTACTCCTCACTGAAATGAAAAGCTGGGGAGAGTACTTAGTACATGAATCTTCAACGATCAACCGTGTGTGTATACACAAGCGTTATTGACTAGCAACCTGACTGAATTACATTATGATATGCCATCAGATGAACTAATGAGGCAGCCGAATATAAGATTGATAAATTAGATTCAGATATCTATATCTTCCACGTATATCACGTTTATCTTTCACAATTTTATGAGATGACGAGCTATCTTTGCCGGAAATAATAAAACGAATGGTCATTTTCTATATAAACTTTAATATTCCTGATAAAATTTTATTGTTAAATAAAATAAACTAGGAAATATGATCTCATAGCAGCTGATGAGTGGTCACAAAAGACTTATTAAGTTACCATAAGTTTCTGAATTCAAGCAGGTATGTGAACCAAGATATTGGACATCGGAACGTAGTATGTATACTAGGTTAGAGTTGATTTAAGGTACAAATACTAAGGGAGTCACTTGGCCGTCCCCGAACTCGTAATAGAACTGAAATAAGTAAAATTATAATAAAAGTATTGTGTAACCCTAACTTGGTACACATACTACGTTCCGGTGTCCACCATGTCCACATACTTCGGGAGAACAGCAGAAAAAAAATATATCGAAGATGTTTATATTAAAACAGACGCATTTGCAGTGATACTCCAAATCGTACCTCATAAAAAGTCATCATGAACAGAAGTATATCATTAACCCAGTAAAAAAATAACATGCTGAGTAATTAAAAATAAAGAACGAAACGAAATAAGTCTAATTAGATCAGTCAGGTCGGGAATTTCGTTTTCAGAGCACTGCTATTATTGGCGAGTGTGACTTTGGTAGCTCAACAACCATCCCTAGGCCCAGCGCTGGATTAACCATTAAACAATGTAAGCACGTGCTCAGAACGCCAAGCAAAGAGGGGCACCACAGAAATTTTATAGCGGAATTTTTTATAGTTTATCGATGTTTATTGAGCAGAACGATTTTTGATTTTTTAGTTATTTCAACTTTTTTGCTAACGTTTTGTGCCTTTATTTTAGAAAAACATTACTCTATTTTAAAAGCGTGGGCCATGTGACAATTGTGACGAAACGCAGAGCCGACTTGACGCCGCGCAATCCATTTTTTTGCTAGGTCCCGAAATACCAACTTAGACGGTATTGGCTGTTATATGACGAGGACACTAAGCATGCTCACACTGCAAGTTTTCAAATTATATAAAATATACCAATTTGTAATAAAAATGAGTGTCACAAGAAGGGGGGCATAAGGAAAACAATGCGGTAACGTATTTCCTTGCCCACCACACAGTGTCTAGTTTGCTTTCAAGTAATATCTGTCACGAAAGAATATAATTTGAAGCGACATTAAACGGGAGATGTGGAAAATACAACGGTAATTCTCGAGAATTAATTTCAAAATAACTGAAGGCTTTAAATATATATATTGTTTAAAGAAAACGGCACCCATGCAACATAATAATAGTCTGATTAGAACGGTAAAATCTCGTTGTTCATGAAATTTGAAGTAAGTGAACTTGCGGATTTTCGATCAATTTTGGGTTTTCTCCGACTTGCGGCCCGCGAGACCGCCTCAAAAGTTGAGGTAGACTACTACGTGCCGGTTAGATTTCAAACTACAGTTTATCCTTTGGTATTTCGATTCACGTTTAGACTGGACGCATTTATCTTCATTATCACACTCCCTCAGGATAAGAGCTCAACCGATATATCGGCCCGATATTGCGTGTTTGCCGAGTATAAACGGCAGATATATATCGATTATTTATATATATACCAGTTAAAAAAACTGAAAATGTTCGAAATGTAGGGACGGTTATGTGCGAGAAGATTTCTGGACACAGTTATTACACCCTAACAGTTATTATGATTGATGTGGAATATTCTGAACACTAAATGACTGGACGGGCCGAATTGGTCGGTTGTTTCACACCCCTTCTCTAAATGAACCGACCAAGATAGATGAAATAGGCTGCTCGTGTGAGTTCTACAACAAAGTAAGTTCCCCCCACAAAAAAAAAGTTATGGACTTGCCACACCTTTGGTCTTCAATAGTAACTTCAATATTATAACTATTTGTCTTATATCTGTCTCACTGCAACAATACAAAAACAATGTCCCACATGGGTGAATTTATTTACAAATACACATTAAAAATGAGTAATCACAATCGCACCGCTCATAACACTGATATTTACAATATAGGCAAACGGTCAGGCCTTTATTCATTCATTCCCCCCTTCCTATTCATTTCATCTTTCGAAATATTGCTTTAAAAAACTTTTATAGTAATGCACAGATTTGCTAAATTAGTCAGCAACAAGACAGTGTGGTGTCATATGGAGTACTTAATCATATGGAAAAGGGAAAAATTTATATGTTTGACACAAAGTAAGGCAATATAGGCTTGAACTATGTAAGAGTTTCAGTAGATTTAAATTAAAAAAAAAAAAAGACTTCACAGTACCAAAAATAATTGAGAATGTGTGTCATGGGCCTCTGAAATAAATTAGTGAATATTATCTTATGGCATCAAAAATTTCGTTATTGTCACACAGTAAAACACGAACCATTCGGTAGTGTTAGAAATTGCCAAATTCGCGAGAAAACAATCACAGCATTGCTTATGTATAAGAAAAAAAAGAAAATCATATTCCATATAACACCAAATTTAACAAGCTGAGTGCTGTACTTATATATATATATATATATATATATTATATATACCTTACAAAGCTATAGCACATTTTTTCTATGGAATAGAATTTCTAAAATAAAACATATAATTTGGATCAGTGGTCTTGAAAGTCAATGTAATTTGTCAGTAAAACAATCGAAGCAACATCTCTACACAAGGAAAGAGAAATTCTAATTCAATTGAATACAGTATTTGACAAGCAACAAATTCCCCAAGTTATTTTTCAGCTAAAACCTCAAGATTTGATTTTGGTTTGGTTGTGGAAGCATCAGGCGGGCTAGATTGATTCACCCAATGGTCCAGATTTGGCTCGTGGGGCGTAGTTTGCCCATGTCAAAGCTAAGGGCCAAACACTAGAGCGATGATTTTCAACCTTTTTAAAGCAACCCTTAATGAAACATTCCCGGTGCAATAGTTTAATTGTCTTATGCAAAAAACACCATTTGATTAATTGTGTAAACTATTAATATATATAAAAGGGTTCCATTACATTTGAACCCACGTACATTTGAACCCATGACAATTGCACCTGCATACTATTGCACCTATGGAAATTTTGTTGTTGTACGGATAGTTGAACCCATACTAACCCTAACCCATGGGTTTCAGCACCCGCATATTGATTGAACCCGCGGATATAGACATGGGTTCAAATGTACGTGGGTTCAAATGTACGGTCACCATATAAAAGCAAACGTAATATTGACAAAACAAAATGATCTTTCAAGAGTGCAAGTTAGTGATAATACTATTTGTGACTATCAGTGATAATACTGATATGTAATTAACTATATTTAAACAATATACATATATTAATACAGACTCTAAAATTCAAATTGAACCTTGAGGAACCCCTCAACTGGGATGCTGGGAACCCTGGTTGAAAAGCACTGCTCTAGTGAAAGCTTCATATGAATTATATTATAAAGTATGGTGCCACACCGAAGCACAAGAAACGAGCGCAAAACATAAATCACGCAAGAACAATTTTAACATTTTTGTGGAATTTGAACATTTACTCTGTGTAATTTTTGGCTCTCTCTGACTTACAAGTAAAAATATTCAAAGTACAAAATATGAATTGATGTTTGACCGGGAATATTATAGGGATTGAGTAAAACAAAGGAAATGGTATCAGCAGCTATGAAATAAGGCTTAAATAGAGCGAAGCATTGCTCAAATATACATTTGTATTTTGTTTGTATATTTCATCTTATATAACAGGACAATCCAGAAGCAGAACGCATAAATTTTTTGATTACCTCTACAAGAATAAAGTAAATTCATTTAACACTTGAACTTCCGTACTTGCACCCAAAAGTTTCAGTAATCTGGCATGCTTTTCAGAAAAGTTATGTTCTCTCTATGAAATATGTTTCAAAGGACCTGGGTTCTATTTTTGGGTGACGCTGTTCATTTCCTATTATGATTAGGCGTCCTAAACTGATGTTATATTTGCGAAGCCAAAAATGTATTGTACATGAATCTCGTCTCTGGAATAATTTATCCATTATGGTGTTATATTATGAGGCAAGTAAATATACATACATGATAATGAAATATTTTTAACAAAAAATTTTTACTCCATATGTATCCTAATAGATTACATAACCAATAATGATATTAAATTGGGGGGCAATCAGTGTCGGCAAAAATTGTTGGCAAAAATTTTTACAATTCCTGTCAAAATTATACAGATATAAACAAATTTTGCTTCAAGTTTGCTCAATTAGTATTTATGAAAACATTGGGGCGAAATATTCATGATAAAAAAAAAAATTCTAGCAGCTAATGATCTATATTAAACCCCTTGGACCAGGGGTTCTCAGTCCGTCATAAAATCTAGCTCTTGGGGTCTTTGTGGGGGTGGGGTGAGGGTTGGTGGCTTGGGTAAATTTGATCTTCATTTGGGGAAATTCTACAAGCCAGATAGTGCACGACCACATAACTCTTGCATTTTTCATCCACAGTTAATATGGGAATAGACATTCTAGGCAGTTTGGGAGTGAAATATATTTAAGGATAAACATTAGAATAAAGGTTGAGAACCCATAACTTAGACACTCTCATAAATAACCACTGTTATACAATATTTTGCTCAGTACCATTATAAGATAAGTCCAAAGAAAACTAAAAATGAAATAATTTAAAACCAGTAATTCAAAAAACTAACTGGGAGAGAGACTGAATGAAAAGGTCATTGACGGGCATATCTTTGTTTTTATTCAACAATTAAAATTCAAATTTAACAATGGTGGTATTTGTTTATTAGTATTGGGCCATTGTCCGGATGTCAAATATGATTTTGCAGCTTTTTGAAGAAAAAAAAACAACAACAAAAAAATTGTATCTTTAAGCAATACTCGTGAAGCAATAAATACGTGATACGTGAATGCAATAAATCCACAGCTCAAGTTCATACAGGACTAGTTTTATAAATAATACATACATATAATAACTTAAATTGTTCGGTAAATGTTCTAAAATGAACGAGAAGACTTTAAAAGACAAGGGATTTTCTTCATTTCAGACGATTGTTTCGGCGATACAAATGCACAGCAAGGACTGCTAGTAGTATTCCACCAATAATTACACCGACAACGATCCATGCAATGGTTGAGCCAGGCAGCTTTTCATTTGTGACCGGTGGTGGATCAATTTCATCTCTTGCAATGACAGCTTGTTCTGTGGTGGTTTCTTCTGGAGATGGAGTTGTTTGATCTGAAAAAAATTGTAATGTTAAATATTGTAGGTTTTTTTTTCATTGTAAGAGTGAGCGAGTCCAGGACACTAAGTCATGTTGAAACATAGCTAACTGATACGTCGCAATAATTACACCTCAATATTAATACACACACTTCTGGTATCTGTTATAAATTTTTTTTCATGAAATATGGGAACACTTATATCACTTGATACTAAACTAAGCTTTACAGCAGGGTTGCCTGAACTACTTTTACAGGCTCAACACTTAAAAAGAAACAATTTGAGGAAAACTGAGTAACCACAGAAAATTTGACAACTAATGATTAGGATTACAAATTTATCCCAGGTGAGAAGAAAGATGATAAGACAGCTTAATCATATGGCGAACCACGGCTTCTCATTTGATAACCTGTCCATGTCGGGTATGGCATTAGTTAGCCAGTTGTTTTGTTTTTTAAAGTATGGTCTGGATGGTGGAGGAAGCCTTAACCGACCAACAGTTATGTGAACCACCCAGCGACGATGAGGAGTCCAGCAATTCTCTCGCACATAACTATCCCTGCATAGTATTCGAACCTACGAACCCATGCAAGGTAATTAAAGGTGCAGTGGCGAGTGTATTCCAAACGCTTAGAACGATGCATCACACCACACCACAGATCCCTTTCATTAGACAATTTAATAATTAATCACTAATCAAGATAGCACTAATTATATTGTTGTCATTTTCGCATTATAATTTTCTTCAAATATACTGTGAATTTGTCTGTAGTCGATGATAGTTTTATTGATTGACTTACCATCTGGTAGATACGGGGCTGTTGTCCTAGCTATCGTTGGTGTTTCTGTTTGACTAGTTGTAGTAGAGGGTTTGACAATTGTGGTTTCTAACTCGGTCATTGGTTGTTCTGGAATGCTGTAATGAAGAATTGTATAAACAAGATATACTTTGACAGTGCTCTATTATTTGGAATTCTATCCAGTTAATGCTTAACTATTATCGTAAATCTAAGTTGATTACGATAACACGTGAGACAATAACCTGGGATAGAATAGGATTTTATACATTTATCCCAGAAGAAAGGAAAGTATATTAGGTGGCTTAACCATATGGCAAACCACGGCCTCTCGTCCAGTACCCAGTCATGCCGGGTATGGGATTAGATAGTCAGTTATTAGTTTTTAGAAGCATGGACTCGCTGGTAGGGAAGCTGTAACTGACCAGACATTACATGAATCACCCTACAATGATGAAAAGGACTGCACTACCACATAATTATCCCACATTGAATTAAAACCTGCGAACCCACACAGGGTAATCAGAGTTGAATTTAGGATGCACCATACCGGAAAGCCAAATCTTACTTACAACTATCTTTCTATTTGTTGATAGCTGAATGATGTTGAGTTTGTAAATTGTTAAATAGTTTGATTTGTGAGCAGTGGAGGGTGACAGGCAGAATTATGGCCATTTCAGACAGAGGTGAATTATTCTGCTTAAATAAAGAATTTAAGTAATTGAGACAAGGTGTTCATAAAGCCCTGTTACAATTTCAAAATTCTGATATGAAATCAGTTCTCAATATATCTTAAACAAGTTTGTTTTGTTTTAATTAATGTGCGATTTGTTTTTATTATCTTGAAAAAACCCACTTTTATGCCCATGATTAGTTGCACAAAGCACATGAAATAGTTTACAGAAGTGTGCTTCATGACACGGCCACGTTTTTAAAAGTAATAAGACAAATAACAGTACAAAGACAATGAAATAATCTTGATTGACAGACACTTTGGCAGCAAGGAATACATTACCAAATATATAAACCCATATATGAAACTCACACAAATTATGTTTGAGAAGACTGTGCCAAAAATAAGTCAACCCCAGGAAAACCAAAATAAGCATAGCTGCACAATTAGACGCCCGAACCCCCCCCCCCCAAATCAGGCCATAAAATTGGGTCCAAAAAAGCTAAGACATATTAGTCGAGAAATACGAGAATACTCACTCAGAGCAACTATTACTCTTTTCTGGATTTGAGTTCTGTTGCCCGTCAGGGCATTTCCTGCAGCAAAACTCGTTGTTGAAGAAGTCTAGTTCAATAGTGTTGCAATCGGTTGTTTGGATGTGGTCGATTTTACAAATGTGTATTTCGTTAACTGGTCCGTATTCTGCAAGTTCTGTGTTTGCTAGGTTCATGCACATTGGTGTTAGAATTGAAAATAACATCAAGAGTAGCTCCATCACAATTTATCCCCGATGTCCTACAGATATTTGTAGATTTATTATAGACACCAAGAGTAATATTCAAATATTGGGTTTTTAGTTCTCAAATTTTTTCAAAAGTGGGAATCCGAAATCTAGGCTCTACTGTATAAATATACATGAAAATATCTGTGACAAAAATATAAGTAATAAGCATTTCACACATGACAATATTTCTGTATAAAATATTTTATGAGTTTTTTTGAACGAGGCTCTGTATACGGATCCACTTCTGTGTAAAGTTTTACTATAATTCGGAAGTATCGAAATTTTTCTGGTCCAGCAATCAGGGGCTAGCCGGAAGTTTTCAAAGGTGGGGAGGGGGCCCTGAAATTTTTAATTGCTAAGTTAGACCAAAATATCCAGCAGGTAAATGAAAACGTGGAATTTTAAGATTTTTTTGAAAGTTTTTTTTTTACACTTTGAAAAGGGGTTAAAACCCCAGCCCCCCTGGGGTATAGTAGCGATTTGAGAAGCACTGTTTTAAGTCATTATGGGTATTTGTAAAAGTCCAAAAAACGAGGACTGGACTTCTAATATTTATAAAGAGGTAAATTAGTGAATATTAAAAGTTGGGAGCCTTTGACTTGGAAAGTTCCATGTTGACTTACACACTTCTTTCAAGATACTGGATAGAATAGGATTTACATATTATATCCTGTTACCAGTCCAAGAGGGGTATGGGATTAGTTAATTATTTGTTTTCGGAAGCATGGACTTAATGGTGGAGGAAGCCATAACTGACCAGCGGTTACATTAACCACCCTACGACGGTGAGGAGACCAGCAATCCTGCGTGGGATTTGAACATGCAAACCCACACAGAGTAACCAGAGGTGCGATGGCGAGTGTATTCCTATTGCTTAGCACGATGCACCACACCGCCGAGACAGTGAAAGTACAAGCTAACTAGTATAAACAAGTCTTTGTTATCTGTATTTCAAACCGATGATACCTATTTAATAGCTGGTTATATATTTTTCTGATCTTTTGTACAAAGCCCACGCTACTAATGCAAAAATGTGATATTCGAAAAAAACCACCTGCCACCTTTTTCAATAACAAATTAGTTATTATCTTTTTGGGGTTAGAATTAGGGTCAGGAATGATTTGAAAATTTGTATTTGCATTCCCAACCCTAACTAGATAATTACAGTACTAATTTTCTTATTTTTAGCGTTGGTTTTTTTTTGGCGAGGGATTTTGGCACTCCTGTAGTATGTGAACCAAGATGGTAGACACCGGGACGAAGTATGTGTACCAGGTTAGGGTTCTAATTTTCCTTATTTTATCTAGTTCTAGGGACTAGCCAAGTGACTCCCATAGTATTTGTACCTAAATTTATGGCCCAGCCCTAACCTGGTACACATACTACGTTCCGCTTTCTAACATCTTGGTTCACATACTACAGGAGTACTGGAATTTTGTACAAAAGTTCCTATTTTTCATACAATTTACCAAAAGTGGAGCCACAGGTACCTACCTAATAAAGAATAGGTCCAAGTTAAAGCCTTTGCTTTGTGGCAGGGCGTACTCAAAGAGGTGGGAAGGGGTGCGAGTTGGGACTACCCTCCCCTCTTTTTGAAATGTAAAACATGAAGCATTTTTCTGTTCAATACATAGCAATTTTTAGTAGCTTCAAATGCTTTTTAGACCCTCAAGACCTATAAACCCATGTTTTTTGGCCCCCGGCCGGACCGGCAAGCTGTTACGGTATAACTTGGTAACTTCCCACTATTTGTAACTTCCTGTTCCCTGCTTTGTGGTCAAAATAGTCCAATAGAAAAACTTAGCTGATGATAATGGCTGTAATATTACATCAGGTTTCCAGTCATTGAAAAAACTTATAGAAGGAGACTTCAATGTAACCGCTGGTCGATTATGACTTCTTTCACAATCAAGTCCATGTGTCTGAAACATATAATAACTGGTTAACTAATCCCATACCAGACATGGACTGGTAACTGATCGATAGGTCAATGTTTGTCACATGATTGATTCATCTTATCAACTTTTCTCCCCTGTATTAATATTAAATCCTGTAATATAGCCCAGCCCTAACAGTGGCATAGTCTGTGATATAAATAAACTAGCTAATGTCCTTTCCTTTCCCTCTAGATAAATCTTAAATCCACCTTTCAATATACTGCTTCACTTTGTCCATTCAGAGACATGTAGGGCTGTAACAGAGCTCACCTATTGACTACACCTCGCGAGTAATGTGTATCATGTGACATGCGTATCATGTGACATCAAATCATCTCGTTACACGTCCAGAATATTCCTTAGTCATTTCTCTATAACGTAGCTCCTTCTTTATTTACTTAAGTGATATAACAATTCAAGATTATTTTATTCTTAGTTCTACACATATTTTACTCAGAAGGGGCTCTGTACCAAAAATTACTGATACGCAAGAAGCTACTTACAAATTCTTTAAATTATTTGGCTAGCCTGCCCGGCTTCATTCACAGCATCTCATGTTTACCAACTGTCTGGGCTGTACATACATATGGTAACTTATGTGTACAGAGCATGGTATTATCTACAAAGTTGATGCAATACTGTTGCAATAATTGATATGCTCAATTCTCACAACTTGTCTTATGACAGTTATTCGCGTACAGATGTGTCTAGACCTGTGGTTCCCAGACTTTTTAGAGTTGGGACCTACTATTTATTACCATAGCTTTAATAAATTAATAAAACATTGATGAAGGAAACGAAAACAAAACCTGGCCTGAAAATAAGACCTAATTTGAATTTTAAAAATGATTTTAATTAAACCCTACCCTTAAAATGAATTTAAAATGTGTGAGAGGAGAAAAGTTCTATGACCTGAGGTAAGGTGAGGATCACACCCCTGAACCCTAACCTGGTACACGTACTATGTTCAGGTTGTGCGCCATCTTGGTGCACATACTTCTGGAGGTCCCAAAAATGAATAGTGGGTCGCGACCCACAGTTTGGGAACTGCTGGTCTATACCGAAGGAGCCTTAGAACAGTTTGGGGTTATGCAGGAACTAGATAATAACTTGCAGTTTATTCTATCCCGCATTCAATGTCAGGTGCTCCTGAAGTATGCGCACCAAGATGTCGCATAACCTGAACCCTAACCTGGTACACAACCTGAGTTCAGGTTGTGCGTCATTTTGGTGCGCATACTTCAGGAGGTGCCAATGTCTTTTGTAAAACAAAATTTTTCATATCTGAATAACCCAAAATATAATTCTGAAATAACAATGGAGTGGTATAAAAGTGACTTTAATATGGTTGAAAGCCGACCGGAAAAATATAATTCTTTCAGAGTCATAGTTTTTTGAACCATGAAAAAATTTGCCATAGTATTATTGAACATTTGGGGGAAATTATAAGCATGCAATTTCATTTTTTCCCATATACATCTTATAAAACTGAATACCATAAATAACCCCAATCAATCTTGGGCCTAAATACCATGCCCCGACCTTACCCAGGGTATACATAATTGAGTAAGCACTGCCAAAGGATTCCTGATATATCAGTAGGGCAGGGCATTTCAAAATCAATCAAATTATTCGAATCGATTCAGATGGAAATTTCGAATTGCCGCCAACTTGAAACCATATTTTCATAATGTAATTCCGGCGTAACTATACTTTCTATAACTTTGCATATAAATTTCATAAAATTGAATTCTATAAACCACCTTAGTTCTGATATAAGATATTAATGTGACGCTCCAAACAATACTAATCCAGGGGTGTGGGGGGGAGCTGACATTGATAGCTATATCGCTTCCCAGACTTTACCAAACAACTTTATGTATTTTATAAATTTGTTGTCTGGTTGACAAAATATAAATTACTTTCTGCTATGAAACGTGAGGAAAAAAAAACAGCAGCAAGTTACACATTAATTAAACATATATGACCCACAGTCTTCTTTCTTATGAAGTTTTTATTTATTCCCCTCAACCCGTCTGCATCCCTGCACTAGACCAACACGCCCACTAAAACATAAGCAAAACATTTCATCAAATATAACTCTTGGGGATGTCCCTAAATTTTTTTTCACAATTTTTTGGATAAAATATCATTTTTAGTTTAACCCTCTACGTACCAGCAGGAAATTGCTTTTTGATTAAAGTTAACCCTGTGTTTACCATCTTAAACTGAGGCAGCCAATGTTTTTGAAGCAGGGGCAAAACAATTTGCCCATTTGGACTGGTGGGCCATGTACCATATATCCTCGCATAGAAGCCGAGTTCAAAACTAAAAAAAAGTTGCCAAATTAGGGGGTTGGCTTATCATGCATAACTCTGATCGCACTGAAGAGTCGGCCTATGCACGAATAACTTTGTTAATATTAGTTATATATTCTGACTGTTATTTCGCCAGCATGAGTGCAACTTTGACAATCGATATCGTTAATTAAGCTGAATTCCACTACCTCTCCATATCTCACAACTATCATTCTACACGAGTGTTAAGTCTTGTGCCACAAAGAACATGTTGACTCATTTTTATTTTGTTCGTGAAACTGTAAGTTCATTTAGAAAAACGCAGATGTTATTACATAATCATCGATAACAATTAAGGAAATGATCCTGATTCCCAAGTTTCTATCGGAAAATGAAGACCGAAAATTCTGTATAATTTAAATGAGTTGAATATTTCTTGTCGGTTTCTAATGCTTTTATCATTGCTCATGAATTATTGCCACCAATTTAAATTGTACTATAATATCATGAACGATAACCGGGATAAAGATAAATCGTTAGTAAATCGTTAAAATTATAGTAATAGATAAAAAAAAAGGTTTCATCATCAACATCAGCAGCTAATGCAAGGAATGGCGGCGATCAATTACTACACCCAAATCAAGACCTAGCTCTAACAGATGATGTCCCAATGCATGATATTTACACAATCAAGACATAGAAAGCGCAGGTGAAACAACTCATCTTAATTCTCCCCCAGCTACGACAGCGTAAGAGAAACACCGGCACCAAACTTGCAACAAACAGAAACACAAGTTAAAATAAAATTGAAATGTTCTAGAACAGTGGTTCCCAACATTTTATGGCCCGTGGCACCCTTTTTTGTGGGCTTCTAGTACTCATGGCCCACTGTTCACCATTCCAAAAATATTGTCGTTCCATTTTCGTAGATTAGATATTTGAACTAAACTTACCTTTTAACAATTTTGTACTATTTTTGATTTGTTTTGAGAAACGCCCACCTCTGTATTAGCTGCCTAATTAGCTTTTTATCTGGTAGCTAAATTGTACTTGGCATTTATATATTTAGGCTCATTTTGATCAGTACTAACTAGTTGTGATGTTACACAAATAAAATTGAAAAAGCGCAAAAATATATAAAATTATATAACAAATGTATAAAAAAAATAAAAATTACAGGGATTGTCATAGGGCATAGAAGAATTTTGGGGGCTCCCGAAGTATGCGAACCAAGATGGCGGATATCGGAATGTAATATGTGTACTAGGTTAGGGTTAAGCCATAATTTTAGCTATAAATACTACCGGAGGCTGTTGGCTAGTCTTCGAACTGATAATAGGACTAAAATAAGAAAAATTGAAGAAAAAAAAATTTCGCCTAACCCTAACCTGTTACCCATGTTACGTTCCGATGTCCGCCATCTTGGTTCGCATACTTCGGGAGCGCCGAATGTTGCATATTGAAATACATGCAATTTTGTATTATAGTCATTTTTTATTAGATTTCAGGCTTCCTTTTTCTCTCGATTTCAACAAATTTTAAATTCCATTTTAGTGATCTTTTGTAAATATTCAATAGTCATGTCAAGTTGAGGTAATTATTTCATCCGGTGACCGTACATTTGAACTCATGTACATTTGAACCCATGCGTATATCCACGGGTTCAATCTATATGCGGGTGCTAAAACCCATGGTTTAGGGTTAGTATGGGTTTAACTATCCGTGAAACAAAAAAAATTCCATAGGTGCAATAGCATACAGGTGCAATTGTCATGGGTTCAAATGTACGTGGGTTCAAATGTAATGGAACCATTTCATCCAGTTCAAAAAAATAATTCAAATAAATAAAAATAAAACTCAAAATAATTTTTTCAGTGGGAACATACAAATAAGTCTGAGGAGTACACTATAGATCAATAATAAAATAATGTTGCTTTGCTTTTTTTACACAATTTACATAATTTTTGGTGCTCCCGTAGTATGTGAATCATGATGGCGAACACCGGAACGTCGTATGTGTACCAGGTTAGGGTTAGGCCATAATTTTATTCCAATTTTCCTTATTTTAGTTCTATTACGATTTCGGGGACTAGCCAAGTGACTCTCGTAGTATTTGTACCTGAAATTATGGCCTAACCCAAACCTGGTACACATACTACATTCCGGTGTCTGCCATCTTGGTTCACATACTATATGAGTACCCATTTTTGTCTATTACTTATCGATCTCGATCGGTAAGTATGTTGACAGGTAATTGTCTGTCTGTTTGTCTGTTAGACACTCGCAATATCCCACAAAAGTGAGGTTGAATCTGCTCCAAATTTTGAATGTGCATTCATCATATCTCGGACCAGAAGCCTATTGATTTTGGATGATTTTTGTCGTATAATTAGCGATTTAATAATTGATTAGTGATGGAACGTGCGGTGTCGCTATTGAGTCAGAGCAAAGGAATCGAAGACGCAGGTTCTGTTTTGGGGGATCCCCTAACTTTCGTCGCTTTTTCTTTAATAATTTATTTTTTAAACATGCGGACGATCGACAAGTCGGCAGTCCCCGATCATTATCTCGTTATGGTCCTTCAATAACTATGATTGAAACTTGTAATATGGCTTTATGAACTTATGATACTGTTTTTTTTACTTTATAACCCTATTATAATGACAATTTTTTATTTTGATCCTCTCGCTTTTGTATATTGCATATTTTTTTGCATGAAATTTTCTTTATAACAGTAGAAAAATTGTGAAATTTAGTTGAATTTTAAACCATTGCCATAAAATATTCGAATACTTTTTCTTTATTGAACAAATTCTAAAAATATGTAAATATGTAATATGCATGTAAATTGCTTTTCAACAATGCTCTTAGACTATTATAATGACTTATGAATTTTAGGCAGAAACAAAAAGACCAAGTACCAAGATTAAAAACCCCCCTTGAAAGTTCCTGCCTATGCCCCCAGTTTATTCACATCTTGTGCTTCAAACATAGCCCTAAATAAGCATCCACTAATATCTATTATTATTATATGGAAGGACCAGAATTATCACAATCTGGATCAAGTAGGTACATGGCATTTGAACCCAAAATAGGTAAATTTTAATATTAGTTTTAGTTCAAAGCTGGAAAGCTGGTTCAAAATTATAGTGGCCCAAGCTCAAGAGCTTCATTTTTTGCCCCCAAGCTGGGCTCCATTCGAAGTTTTTAAGTGTTACCCTTATCATGAAATATCTGCCCAATGCGACCCTGCTTCAGAAACTACCGCTCAAACGTCATAAAAAGATTACTTTATAAATCATAACTTCATGGAATTATTATCAGAATACTACAATATACATTAGCACTGAATTTACTAGCATTTTTGCTTGTGACAATAGTAATACTTCTGCCACACATTTTAGGATTTACATATCTGAAACATTTAATAAAATATAGATAACAATTCAAATCTCAACAATTCTATCCTAACTTTTGAGTAAAGACTAAACTAAAGACTGAATTAGAGACTAATCGAAAACAAATTGACTGCTGTGAACACTGTATACCCCTGTCGTCACACGATACACTCTAAATCACGAGGCAAAAAAATCACGTGATCGATTACGTAGCATGGCGCAATACTGTCCCATAAAATATTATATATAATAAATAACACAGAATCAATATTTTGTGCCGCATATTTTTCTCCTCTCATCACATCATCACAAACAAACAAACAATTTGTTGGCTTTAATAAAAAAAAGGGGAATATTAATCAATACGTGAAGCGCTACCACATGGGCTCAATCTTGCGTATAACATAAACAATCATTCGATGTCAGTGAACCGCGATAGTAGACTGGTTAGTTATTTAGTAACCAGATAACAAAGGATTATTCGAATAAAGAACGAGTCAGCTGAAGGGGATGCTTTTGAGTAAATGAATATGGCAGGGTTTTGTTGGAGGTCAATAGGGGTTAAATGAACACGAGGTTTCACCCGTGGGTATGGATAGATTGAAAAATAGTTCATTTCATTGAGAAAGCTGTCTTTCTAAAAATATATTCAAGTATACCAAAAAACGTTAGTACACTAGGTGTTTGTTATTTTCTAACTTAAATACAAAAGGGGTCACTGTGGGTATGACCCACAAAGAAACAATGAATCAGCTGACTGAAAGAAATGCTCTGGGCTTCCTGCTGAAGTTTAATAGGGGTGAAGTAAAATAGACAATTTGATTCAGTCCTGACAGCCAATAGGATAAAACAAAGACAGTGAAGAAGAATGTAACTGAATTTATTCCAGGGGCATAGCCTAGAGCAGTGGTTCTCAAACATTTTTTGCTCGCGGCGCACTAAGAAAATAAAAAAAATCTTGCGGCACACTCGTGAAAAAATAAAGCTGGACTTCAACAAATTATGCAGCAAATGCTAATGCGATGTGTGTGCCTGTTTTGAGAAACAATATAAACGAGGTTCCGTCGCTCCCTTTTTTGCTTTTAATTTCAGTCGGAACATAAAATAAATGTTAACAGAGCCATGGAGATGCAAATGACTAGAATATTTTGATGGCCTTTGCGCCGATGATTAAATATAATTTGTGAGCAGATAGCCAAAACTCGTTCAAACCTGCTTTACTGTTACCCAACTGAACAACTGAAAGTAAACACGGTGGAAGATGGACGACATGTTTACAAAAACATCATGACATCACAATACATTTATGCTGAAACAATCCCCCTAATACAACGACAAGGCAAATGCTATATATAATATTATCAGTGTAATTAAATATGGATACTCAAGTCTCACAAGCTTGCCAGCTGCATGTGTGCCTGTGTGTAATACGAACAGCTTGTTTTCTGAAATTCCAAAATCCCTCACGGCACACTCAAGAATCTCTCACGGCACACAGTTTGAGAAACACTGGCCTAGAAGGAACTGAGGGTTGAACCCCCTATTGAAATGTACAAAATTAATATATTTTCGGGGCTCCTGAAGTATGCGAACCAAGATGGCGGACATCGGAATGTAATATGTGTACTAGGTTAGGGTTAGGCCATAATTTTAGGTACAAAAACTACGAGAGGCACTTGGCTAGTCTTCGAACTTATAGTAGGACTAAAATAAGAGAAATTGGAATAAAATTATGGCCTAACCCTAACCTGTTACCCATGCTACCTTTCGATGTCCGCCATCTTGGTTGCATACTTCAGGAGCACCCATTTTTCTCTATATGCATATCAATTTTTCATAGCTTGGAACACTTTTTAGACCTTGAAGACTCTCAAAACCCATGTTTTCGTCCTGCGACCCAACCCGCTCGTTCTCACAGTCTAACTTGGTAATTAGAAATTTCAGAACCCCGGCTTTGACAGGAATCTTTTCAGTTCAGCCTTGCCTAACTGATTTTCAGAATATATCAACTTCCCACATACTATTCTGGTATGTTATATAACTTTGACCTTGAATGAACTCAAATGAACCCCACTAAAATCATTAAAACTGATTATTCATTATTATATATTCAGTTATTTTCAGAATACTGTACCACAATATAACCTAGACATGAAGCTGCCTGTATTATTTCTTGTGCCAGTGTTCTCACTTTTGTCGCACAATTCATCTGCTAAACAGATTAGAAGGCATATCTATGGACCTTTAAAAGATGGAGAATATTGTCAGAAAGACTACTTCGAAATTGCTAAGGGTTGGTTGGAGGAAAGGTACTGCAAGAAAAGCAGAAGAGGATATGAAAATAATGATACAGAACATTCTAATACATGTACCAAGTGAGTCAAACATTTGAAAATTGGAAGAATAATTAGATTGCTGTACCCACCACCTGATGAAAGGTGGTTGTCTATGCACATGATTTTATATTTTTTCCGGCTAATAAGCCAACTCAGAAAAAAAGACAAGGCCAATTTTTAGCACTTTTTTCGGCGGTCCAGAAGTTTACCAATATGAAGGTAACTAATTTTGTTTGCCTACTTTACATTAAGTTGAGTAAAGGGACTGAAGCATATGGACAGGGGATATATTTACTTGCCTAGCACAGACAGTCCTGAACTCGTAATAGAACTAAAATAAGGGAATTGGAATAAAATTATGGCAACCTTAACACTACGGAAGCACTGTTTTTTTCTATATCACTGCCCAGGAAATTGGGGTAGAGAAATTGTGTTACTTTTTACCCTGTTCATCAGTTAATTACCAATGCACTAATGCATTTCAATCCATTCCATTTGACTTTTTCATCATTACATGCCAATGCGTTCTCTCTATCTGTAAAGTTTACAGTACAGGACCTTGCTTTTATGAGTTACTACCCCATCAGGATTTCTAGAACTTATCAACCCACATAAAGGCCATGGAGCGTTTTTTTTAACGACTCTCAAACACATATTTTGTCCGAACGATACACTATATTAGCAGACACTGATAACTCATGATATGTACATCATTACTTTCATTATTATTTGAAAGGGTACTCCTGAAGTATGTGGACCAATATGGCAGGCACCGAAATCTAGTATGTGTTAGGGTTACCAGGTTAGGGTTAGGCCATAACTCATGTACAAATACAACGGGAGAACTACTACTTGGCTAGTCCCCGAACTCATGATAGAATTAAAATAAGGAAAATTGGAATAAAATTATGGTCTAACCCTAACCTGGTACACATACCGTATCTTCTCGACTATACGCCTATCACGAGAATAAGCCGACTCCCTAATAACAGCCTTAAAATAGTGAATTTATAAAAATTCGCATATACGCCGTTTCCACAAATCGTGATCGTATCTATTACAGTCAATGATATTCAATTCAAATTTAATATTCAAATATCGCTGTTCACTACTTTCTTGTATATGGCACACACATTCTAGCGCCGCTGTCCACATTTTGATTAAAACAATTTTCGATTATTATATTTTCTGTTTTATCGTAATGGAAGACAGCACTTTGCGGCTCAACTAAATTACTGCCAACATAAAAGGAATTAAATCAGCGCCAACTTGAAGTACCAAACGTATAACATGAGGACATTTTTGATTGAGAATATTTTACAATCAATATTTTATATTAAGGTAGTGAGATATCCTGAGCGGACATGGCAATAAATTTGGTTATTTTTCGCAAGTCTTCTCAAACATGATTTGTGTGAGCTTCATATATGGGCTGATATATTTTATAATGTATGCCAAAGTGTCTGCCGATTATTTAATTGACTTTGTATACCAGCTGTTATTTGTCTTAATCCTAAAAACAAAAACCTGGCCGGTGCAATGAAGCACTCCCTGCCCGAAAGACCTGCCCCATAACGGCACTTCAGAAAGAAAACGGCTACCACGAAATAAAGTGATTGATTTATGACCCTTCCGTTTTGCTGATTCAGGAAAAAACGGAAAACACAGCTGTTGCCTAACCCATGGACGTACAGCACAGTATTTATCACACCATATTCATACGTTATTTCAACCTTTCAGTTACCGTAAATGGTTGTTCAAAATGATTGAAATTACAGTTTTATTGTTAAGAATTAATGCTGGAGTATTATTCTGTGAGATTTTTTGGTGCTATCTGAGTTATGCGAGAATAAGACGGTCCCTTAGTTGGGCAACTTTTAAACTCGGCGTATTTGCGAATAAATACGGTAATACGTTCCGATGTCCGCCATCTTGGTTCACATACTTCAGGAGTATCTTTGAAAAAATCAGAATCTTTTTAAAATTGCCTACCCAATTTAATATACCTTAGGTGAGGTGTGGGATCTGTAGGCCACATAAGTAGCCCGATTAAACAACTCGCAAGTAATATAATGAAATAATAGGGTGTACATACCAACAGCGAAAAGTCCAGTGATGCTCATCTTGAATATGAACATCTTCAGATGGATTCAAACCCATGTCTCTCGACCATGATAATTATCATTCTATCCATTTTGAAGCTCTTCAACACTAAACATAAAATATTATTCTCAGAATCAAAACGAGGCCGACCACACAATCACCAAAAGGAAAGAACATCACTGGCGAACAAATCCCCATTAAAGAGCAAAATCGTAATGTTTCTACTTCGACGTCAACACCAACAACAAAGGTGTACAATCAAACGAAGAAAGCTCCACCATCCCTGAAAACACAGACAATGACACCTAGTGGAATTAGTCTTGATGTTAAAAACCACACAAAGAGTAATGATATGTCTTCTACAAAGGAAACTGACACAGCGTGCAAAACCCAAGCCTGCAATGTTGCTCCTTACATTTGGAGTAGAGTGATTGTGTCAAGCATAGCTGTGGCAGCCCTTATAATCATGGTTTGCATTTATTGTAGGTGCAAGAAATAAAAGGACAAGAGTCAACAATGACGGTGGTTCCCATCCCATTAAATGAACCCTGTACTTCAATATCCGTACCACATAGCCAATACAGTATTTATTGAACACCGTACTTTAAAATCAAAGCCATATAACTGTGTAGTTTATATTCTAATTAATATTATATTAAAAAGCAAATCACAAATATAATGGTCAATCTTCGCTATAGAACAAATCCTCCTAATAGAACAACACCGTTACATTTCAAATTTGACGAAAAAATGACCACGTAACCAGAGTGCAATAAATTTGATACAAAATGTTGAACCATTTAGATTCCATGCCCTCTAATAAATAATGATAACTGCTCGTATCAGGGCCTATAGTGGAGCAAGTGATGGCTTTTACTATAAAGCATCGGCTCCCAACCCGGGGCCACAGAGCAGTTGAGGGGCCACAATGCTAGGTGCATAACTGATTTCACTTTTCCCTTGACATGGATACCCCAATTTTTCTAGTTTCATTGCTTGATAAGGTTATTACCCAGGGTGTTCTCACTTTGTTGAGCATGAATTGTTTGAATATAATGAGAATCTACCAATCAAAATAACACTATAAAAACCGCTGGAATGATAAACAGAGGAAGGGGACAATGAGCCATAAGAGATTGGGAATCGCTGCCTAAAGATTTGATGAGATTGAAAGATGGTTCATATAACTGCTGGCTCATTAGGCTTCCATCACTATCCAAGTTCATGAGTCTGGTACAAACTATCTATCTGTTCATTTGTGTCCAAAAATATATTGCACGGAGTTTTCATACAATTTTTACATCCATTTTATACAGTAGCAAAATTTTATCCATTACTTTTCCAGGAATGAAATAAGATGAAGTGTCATATTAAAATGTCTGATACTTTCTGTCTGAGAAGTTTCTAAGCAAGTGTCGCTAATTCCATTGCTGCCTATCATACACTCTCATTTATGCTACTATTTCCTACTTTATTACTTCACTATAATGATAATTTCAAGTGTATTCATCAAAGTAAAAACCTAAAGTACAACAAACCTGGTATTGCGAATTGATTAACAAATTTGTAACAAGATTTTATGAACACCCAGCTGTTTTATACATTCTAATATTAATAATTATATGATAACAATTTTTTCTACTATCTCCTCGCTTTTGTATATTCCGAGATGACTGTTAAAAAAGTTGGTCTGTAAAATAATACTTTTAAAAATTCGATGTAATCTCAGAAAACTATTGGGGCATGTTTTATTGAGAACTCATTTACACAATAAAAGTTCTATTATGCTTTAGATCAGTGGTTCCCAACCGTCGGTCCGTGGACCCGTGCCGGTCCGCGAGGCTTTTTTGCCGGTCCGCGGAAAATTTCATTTTGTTGTTTTTCTACCGTCTCAATCGCTTTACCGAAGCCGAAAAGACGAAGTTACGTTGGTTTATTACGTGATTTCTCTTCTGCCGTCATATTGCTGTTGGATACGTGCGGGATGGCCCGGCGACGTCTTGGCGCCGTGTAATCATACTTTTCGGTTCATCGCGAAAGCGTTCCGTCAAATCTCACAAGATTCAGATGCCTGGAAATCAGCATGCGTGCTTTTACCGTTCTGCATGCTTTTCTTGATTAATAGGTCAAAGTTATGTTGATTTATTACGCAATTTCTCCTCCGCTGTCTTATTGATGTTTGATAAGTGCCGTATTAATGGCCTGGCGACGTCTTAGCGCTGAGTAATCACTTTTTGCTTTTTCGGTTCCGATTCATCGTGAAAGCGCTCCGTCAAATCTCGCAAGATTCAGAAACCTGGAAATCTGCATGCGTGCTTTTTCCGCTCTGCATGCTTTTCTTGATTAATCCAAATCCATCCAAATAAAAGGTTATGAATATTTCTATGTTTAAACCAGAATGTATCAAGATAGACAGTATAATATTCCAGAGCATCACCATGAGCATCTAATAAAGACTGGATACCGAAGAATTTTTTGTAGTCATCCGGCCCGCCGAGTACTTCATTTTCCCACATCTGGCCCGCCGACTAGAGAAGTTGCCCACCCCTGATCTAAGACAATGTTTCGCAAACTGTGGCCCATGATGGTCTACTATAAAATTACCTGGTTTAGTTTTCCATAGGTTTTCGTCAGTTATTTTATGTGTCACAATCATTAACCCATTTACCGCTGTCCTAGAGCAGGGGTGTCAAACTCGTGGATTTCCGAGGGCCGCATTGCATTTTGGGAATTGTGCAAAGGGCCGCAAACAGTTTTTGATATATTTTGATAATGTATACTTGAAGCATATTTTCAGATAGGTGTAGTTCGTGACATACCGAATGAAGTGATATCATTTTCCTAAATTTCAAATGCCATTTACATATAAATTTTCGCATTTTACTTTTATTTTAATTTACAGTATTTATTACAAAAAATCATAAATTTTTTTGTACAACTATCCATAACATTTTTGAACAAAGTTTCGATAAGCATAAGGAAACAATAATATATATACGGAAAAATGACTTAATCTACGGTAAATATATAGACCTAAATTTTACAAGAATACCACAGATAAACTCAATGTTTGTTTTATATTATATGTAATGACGTTTGGCATCTCTTTTGTGCCACCAGCTTACTAATATCAGGCTGAAATGATTTTACAGCACCAACTCTAATTAATGAGGTCACATGATCATCCTTTAATCTGGATCGTTGAGAATGTTTTATTTAATTTAAGTAATGCAAAAATATTACGGTTATCATTTTATGTATATATCCGTAAATCAAACAAATGACTGAGTTACAGACCAGACCAGTCATTTCTTACCTTTACGTGGCATAGAACCGTTTGAGTTATGATTAATATTGATTTTTAGTAACTAGGTACCGTATTTTCTCGACTATACGCCTATCACGCGAATAAGCCGACTCCCTAATAACAGGCTCAAAATAGTGAATTTATAAAAATTCGCATATACGCCGTTTCTACAAATCGTAACACGGCGCACGCATCTATTACAGTCAATGCTGTTCAGTTCAAATTTAATATTCGAATATCGCGATTCGCTAACTTCTTGTATATGGCACACACATTCTAGCGCCGCTGTCCACATTTTGATTAAAACAATTTTCGATTACTATATTTTCTGTCCTATCGTAATGGAAGACAGCACTTAGCGGCACTACTAAATGACTGCCAACATAAAAAGGAATTAAATCAGCGCCGACTTGAAGTACCAAACGTATAACATGAGGACATTTTTGATTGAAACTATTTTACAATCATTATTTTATATTAACGTAGTCGAGATATCCTGAGCGGCAACGGCAATAAATTTGGTTATTTTTTGCAAGTCTTCTCAAACATGATTTGTGTGAGCTTCATATATGGGCTGATATATTTTATAATGTATGCCAAAGTGTCTGCCGATTATTTAATTGACTTTGTATACCAGCTGTTATTTGTCTTAATCCTTTTAAAAACAAAAACGTGGCCGGTGCAATGAAGCACTTCCTGCCCCATAACATAACGGCACTTCATAAAGAAATCGGCTATCACGAAAATGAAATAAAGTGATTGATTTATGACCCTTCCGTTTTGCTGATTCAGGAAAAACGGAAAACACAGCCTTTGCCTAACCCATGGACGTACAGCACAGTATTTATCACACCATATTCATATGTTATTTCAACCTTTCAGTTACCGTAAATGGTTGTTCAAAATAATGGGAATTACAGTTTTATTGTTAAAAATTATTATTATTATGTCATTACTTCAACAGCGTGAGCGATGTCATGCATGATGTGCCAGTAAATATTTCAATTCATCGGAGAGAGATAAGAGTGCTTATCAGCGCAACTAAAAAGGATAACATATCGTAAATGCGATTAAAATTCGGGCGTTAGTTGCTAAAGACGATTGCGCACAAATGATAAGCTGTTGCTCTTATGCAAAAGATACAATCAAATTTAATCAAATACAAGCGGTCACGTTTATGATCAGACAATCACACCTGGACAAGCGATCGCGTGTGTGTGTGCACGCTTTTATCGTGAGAACTAAGCATGGTTTGTAGCTGTTGCAATTACCGGCAGGTAAGCATGATATCATTTCGTTGCGTGATCATAGTCTCGATGCGCGAAGGAGCCGATTTTTTGGTGCTATCTCGGTTATGCGCAGATAAGACGGTCCCTTAGTTAGGCAACTTTTTTTTTGTGTTTTAAACTCGGCGTATTTGCGAGAAAATAAGGGCCGACTTGAAGTACCAAACGTATAACATGAGGACATTTTTGATTGAAAATATTTTACAATCATTATTTTATATTAAGGTAGTCGAGATATCCTGAGCGGACACGGCAATAAATTTGGTTATTTTTCGCAAGTCTTCTCAAACATGATTTGTGTGAGCTTCATATATGGGCTGATATATTTTATAGTGTATGCCAAAGTGTCTGCCGATTATTTAATTGACTTTGTATACCAGCTGTTATTTGTCTTAATCCTAAAAACAAAAACGTGGCCGGTGCAATGAAGCACTCCCTGCCCGATAACGGCACTTCAGAAAGAAAACTGCTACCACGAAATAAAGTGATTGATTTATGACCCTTCCGTTTTGCCGATTCAGGAAAAAACGGAAAACACAGCCTTTGCCTAACCCATGGACGTACAGCACAGTATTTATCACATCATATTCATATGTTATTTCAACCTTTCAGTTACCGTAAATGGTTGTTCAAAATGATTGAAATTACAGTTTTATTGTTAAGAATTAATGCTGTGAGTATTATTCTACCTGAAACTTCTATCTGATTCTTACTTGTCACAAATGATAACGTTTTGACCATGAGACGGCTGGTAGATCAATGCTGTTGCTCTTATGCAAAAGATACAATTAAATTTAATCAAATACAAGCAGTAACGTTTATGATCAGACAATCACACCTAGACAAGCGATCGCGTGTGTGGTGTGTGCGTGCATGCTCTTTATCGTGAGAATTAAGCATGGTCTGTAGCTGTTGCAATTATCGGCAAGTCAGCATTATATCATTTCGTTGTGTGATCAAAGTCTCGATGCGCGAAGGAGCCGATTTTTTGGTGCTATCTGAGTTATGCGCGCATAAGACGGTCCCTTAGTTGGGCAACTTTTTTTTTGAGTTTTAAACCTGGCGTATTTGCGAATAAATACGGTAGTTGTATAATTATAATAATAGGTTACAAACACATACAAATTTTCAGTTCAAATTTTTTTGAATTTGTCATATCGACTTCTGAGCCTATTCAGATAATGTCTACTTATATTGATTTTTTCATTGTACTGATGGAAATGTGAAATTAAACAATGTGCTGTAGAATTTTGAGAAATGCAGAAATATTGCAACTCCCATTTTTCTTAAAAAATGCCATCTTCTCCATGTCAGTATATCGTTCGTCATGTAAAGATTACACAATACCCACATGACAAAAACAACCCTCTCGGTAATAAATTAGTGTTCCCTGCCCATTAAAACCTAAACTAGGAAAGCATGCAAAGAATGGGGCATATTATATGTAGGCCTATAAAGAATAACAAAAATAATGAAGAGTTTACTGTAATATTTTATGCTGTATATTTGGTTCACAACTTTTCAAAGTTTCCAAATATTTTATTGGCTTTGATAAAAAGGAAACATTAATACTGACAGAGCGCCGGTATATCACGCGTGCGTGACCACTCCCATAACAAAGAAACATTCGAGAAATTTCAGAGCGTCAGAGAACCGCGCTTTACTAAATCTAACATAGTAGACTGGTTAGTTATTTACTAACCAGATAACAAAAGATTATTTGAATAGAGAATGGATCAGCTGACTGAAGGAATGCTTTCAAGTAAATAGATATGGTTGGTTTTTTGTTTGAGGTCGATAGGGGTGAAATAAACATGAGAATTCACCCCAGGGTATGAATAAGATTGAAAAGTAGTGATTTTTATTGAGATGGGTTGCTTTCCAAAGATTATAATGCAGTATACTAAAAACATGTTAGTAGTAGTTATTTTTTAACTAAATACAAAAGCTATATCTCACAAATAAACAATGTATCAGCTGACTGGAAAGGAGTGCTATTTGGTTCCTGGCAAATAGGGGTGAAGTAATGAAGATGATCATCCTTGACAGTGAATATGATAAAACAAAGAAACTGAAGAAGGATGTAATTGAATGTTTAATCCAGGGGCGTGGCATGTGGACCCCCCTTTTAAAAAATGGTAAAAAAATTTGTTCTGTATAATGCATAATAGCAATTTTTCATAACTAGAATCGGCTTTCAGACACTAAAGACTTGACAACCCCCCTTTTCTGTCTACTTCCCACATATTATTTTGGTATGTTATATACCTAACGTTTTACCTTGAATGAACTCCAATGACCCCTACTAAAATCATAAAAACTGATTATTCATTATTGTATTATTCAGTTATTTGCAGAATACTGTACTACAATATAACCTAGACATGAAGCTGCCTGTATTATTTCTTGTGCCAGTGGTCTTACTTTTGTCACACAATTCATCTGCTAAACAGATTAGAAGGCATATCTATGGACCTTTAAAAGATGGAGAATATTGTCAGAAAGACTATTTCGAATATGCTAAGGGTTGGTTGGAGGAAAGGTACTGCAAGAAATGCAGAAGAGGATATGAAAATAATGATACAGAACATTCTAATACATGTACCAAGTGAGTCAAACATTTGAAAATTGGAACGTAGTATGTGTACCAGGCTAGGGTTAGGCGATAATTTTCTACCAATTTTCCTTACTTTAGTTCTACAAACTAGCCAAATGACTCCAGTAATATTTATACCTGAAATTATGGCCTAAAACCAACCTGGTACACATACTACGTTCTGGTGTCAGCCATCATGGTTTGCTTACTACAGGAGTACCGATTGTTGTACCCACCACCTCTTGTGAGGTTGTTATAATTACCAGAGTTATTGTACATGATTTACTGTATTTTTCGGCTCGTAAGCCAACTCATCATATACGATACGCCCCCCATCCCCTCCCCCCTAGTGTGTGTACCAGGTTAGGGTTGGGCCATAATTTTATTCTGATTTTCCTTATTTTAGTTTTATTACAAGTTCAGGGGACTGTCTGTGTTAGTCAAATGAATATACCCCCTGCCCATGGGTTCCAGTCCTTCTACACAACTTGATGTAAAGTAGGCGAACAATTTGTTACCCCCATATTGGTACACACACTTCTGGTCCCCGATTTTTCTATATAACTGCCCAGAAAATCGGGGTAGATAATTGTTTACCTTTTTCACCAATACACGCATATTTTTATCAATTCTATTTGGCTCATTTTTTCCTCAATTCGACGCAAATGCGATCTTTCTCTTTGACATGCAAAAAAGCCACTGGGCCTTTACTTTATGATCTACTACACCATCAGGGTTTCTGAAATTTATTGACCAACATAGAAGCCATGGAGCGACTCTCAAACACACAGTTTAGTCTGAACGAGGCCTTATATCAGGGGTGCACAACCTTTTCGCTATTGGCGGCCACATTGCGTTGATGTGTATTCAATACGGCCGCCAGAGGATCAATAACCACGCCGAAGGCGCGCAAAATTTTGTGGCTCTTATGACGTCATAATCGCGTGTTTGACCCATGCGAGTCGCAGTCTGCCAAATTATGAAGTATGTAGGACTACTTGGAAGTATATTATTCGCATTTTAAACGGATTTTTCTTTTCGATGGACCTATCCTTGAGCAGATATATTGCAGCAAGTGGCATAATGATTGCACAATTTAAAAAAAAAAATCGAAAGTCGAGGAGGGGGAGGGACCATTTTCTTGAAAGTGTAATAAAATGTAAAATATTTTATTGAATTTATTCTATAAATGTTTGCAAAGCATTGTAGCAATTCAATGACTCCCTTGGTCTTGAATGTGTGCAGATAAACTTGCAAAGTCTGGTAACTGGCCTTGCTAGCTAGCTTGCTACGTTGCTAGGCTGCCGAAACGCATGATCGATCTGAATCGTGAAGGGAAACCAACAGCAAATACACCATCCAGATTGTGACGCATCGTGTCGTCTGACTTTTTTTGCAATGTTCCTGTTTTGCTTCAATATACGCCAGCATAGCCGTCAAATCCTATATTTTAATTTTTTTTATAGGATTTTGTTTGGGGACTGCCGCATTATTTTTTCACGACGGCCGCAAGTTGTGCACCGTTGCCCTATATTAACAGACACTGATAACTCATGATATGTACATAATTACTTTTATTATTATTTGAACGGGTACATACCGTATTTACTCAACTATACGTCTATCACGCGGATAAGCCGACTCCCTAATACCAGCTTCAAAATAGTGAATTTATAAAAATTCGCATATACGCCGTTTCCACAAATCGTAATATCCCGATTCGCTACCTTCTTGTATATGGCACACACATTCTAGCGCCGCTGTCCACATTTTGATTGAAACAATTTTCGATTATTATATTTTCTGTTTTATCGTAATGGAAGACAGCACTTTGCGGCACAACTAAATTACTGCCAACATGAAAGGAATTGAATCAGCGCCGACTTGAAGTACCAAAACGTATAACATGATTGAAAATATTTTACAATCATTATTTTATATTAAGGTAGTCGAAATATCCTGAGCGGACACGGCAATAAATTTGGTTATTTTTCGCAAGTCTCCTCAAACATGATTTGTGTGAGCTTCATATATGGGCTGATATATTTTATAATGTATGCCAAAGTGTCTGCCGATTATTTAATTAAGTTTGTATACAAGCTGTTATTTTTCTTAATCCTAAAAATTAAAAACGTGGCCGGTGCAATGAAGCACTCCCTGCCCGATAACGGCACTTCAGAAAGAAAACGGCTACCACGAAATAAAGTGATTGATTTATGACCCTTCCGTTTTGCTGATTCAAGAAAAAATGGAAAACACAGCTGTTGCCTAACCCATGGACGTACAGCACAGTATTTATCACATCATATTCATATGTTATTTCAACCTTTCAGTTACCGTAAATGGTTGTTCAAAATGATTGAAATTACAGTATTATTGTTAAGAATTAATGCTGTGATTATTATTCTACCTGAAACTTCTATCTGATTCTATCTTTTGCACAAATGATAACGTTTTGACCACGAGACGGCTGGTAGATCAATGCTGTTGCTCTTATGAAAAAGATACAATCAAATACAAGCCGTCACGTTTATGATCAGACAATCACACCTAGACAAGCGATCGCGTGTGTGCCTGCACGTTCTTTATCGTGAGAATTAAGCATGGTTTGTAGCTGTTGCAATTACCGGCAAGTCAGCATTATATCATTTCGTTGCGTGATCAAAGTCTCGATGCGCGAAGGAGCCAATTTTTTGGTGCAATCTGAGTTATGCGCGCATAAGACGGTCTTTTAGTTGGGCAACTTTTTTTTTGAGTTTCAAACTCGGCGTATTTGTGAATAAATACGGTACTCTCTTAGTATGTGAACCAATAAGGCAGGCACCGGAACATAGTATGTGAACCATGTTAGGGTTAGGCCATAATTTCAGGTACAAATACTACGGCAGTACTACTACTTGGCTAGTCCCCGAACTTGTAATAGAAATAAAATAAGAAAAATTGGAATAAAATTATGGCCTAACCCTAACTAGGTACACATACTACGTTCCGGTGTCCGCCATCTTGGTTCACATACTTCGGGAGTATCTTTGAAAGAACCAATTCTTTTCAAATATCTGTTGCTTATCCAATTTAATATACCCTTGGTGAAATGTGGGATCGATAGGCCATGTGTGCAGTCTGATGAAACCATCCACTAGCAATATTATGAAATAATAGGGTGTACATACCTACAGGGAAAAGTCCATTAATGCTCTTCTTGTATAAGAAAATCTCCAGTGGGATTAGAACCAACATCTCTTGAACATGATGGTCATGCTTTTATCCACTTTGACGTTCTTGAACACTGAATATAAATTATTATTTTTAGGATCAAAACGAAACCGTCCATACGATCACCACCAAACAGAAAGAAAATCACTGAAGAACACAAACCTAATAAAGAGGAAAATCGTAATGTTTCTAATTTAACGGCAACACCAACTATGTATGAGCCGACGAAGAGCATTCTATCCCCATCAAATAAACAAACAACGACCCCTATTGGAGTTAATCATGGCATCAAAACCCCCAAATTTAGAGAAAAAAACAAAATCAAGAATAATGAAACGTCTTCTACAAAGGAAATTGACACAGCGTGCAAACCCCAAGCCTCTAATGTTACTGCCTACATTTGTATTATAGCGATACTGTCGGTCGTAGATGTGGCAGCGTTTGCCATAATAGCTTGGATGTGCTGGAGATCCAATAAATAAAAAGACAAAAATGAACAATAGCAGTGATTTCCAAAATCTACATCACGACGCATTGGTCATCTCACGTGGTATAAATATGAAACTCTCATCCTATGGACATAACTTTAATTTTCAACAATGAAACCTAACTTAATATTTGAAATGGAAATATAAGGTTAGAACGATAGAATTTATTATTTGTATATAGTATTAGAAAATTATGAAAGTTGAAAAATAGTAAAATGGATGGTTTAGAGCTGAAGCCACAGATATTTCTGGTACTTCTGGCTCTATCTATTATGGTAAGCTTGACTGCAGCTCCAACAAAATGTCATGACCCGATGGCTTCTCAACAAGTCCCTTTTTAAAGATGTAATTTTACTTTTTCTATCATTATATTGCCATTATTGTTAAAGCCTAACCAGTATCTATTGAATATCATACATTAAAATTAGTGCTTTATAGCTATGGTTTATCTTCTTCATTAATAAAATCAAAGCACAAATATATGGACAATCTTCACTGAAGAACAAATTCCCTCTAAAAGAGCAAAACCATGACTAATTTGATATCAAAACCAATGGCTACCTCAAGGAAGCCTCCACAACACATCCATGAATGTAACGCATTGAATGCCTATGTAATGATTAACTGGAAATACATCTTTTTTTCAAATGTGGTTCCTTTTGTGCCAGTGGACACAAGCCTGGACATGATAACTGCTCGTATCAGTGGCCTATAGTGGAGCAAGTGATGGCTTTTATTATAAAGCATCGGCTCCCAACTGGGGGCCACAATGCTTTCACTTTACAAGAATCCTTCTCGTTCCTCCTAGTTTCATTGATTGATAAGATTATTTCACAGGGTGTTTTCACTTTGTTGAGCATGAATTGTTTTAACATAATGGAATTTGGAATCTACTAATCAAACTAACACCATCAATACCGCTGGAATGATAAACAGGGGGGCCATGAATGCTAAAAACCTCCGGAAGAGGGCCACAAGACAGAAAAGGTTGAAAACCACTATCTAAAGATTTGATGAGATTGAAAGGTGGTTCATATACCTGCTGGCTCGTTAGGCTTCCATCACTACCCAAGTCCATGAGTCTCGTACAAACTATCTATCTGTTCATTTGTGTCCAAAAATATATTGCACGGAGTTTTCATACAATTTTTACATCCATTTTATAAAGTAGCAAAACTTTATCCATTACTTTTCTAGAAATGAAATAAGATAAAGTGTCATATTAAAATGTCTGATACTTTAAGTTTCTAAGCAAGTGTCGCTAATTCCGTTGCTGCCTATTATACACTCTCATTTATGCTACTTTATTCATTACTTTTCTAGAAATGAAATAAGATAAAGTGTCATATCAAAATGTCTGATACTTTAAGTTTCTAAGCAAGTGTGTCGCTAATTCCGTTGCTGCCTATTATACACTCTCATTTATGCTACTATTTTCTACTTTATTACTTAACACTATAATGATAATATACGAGTGTATTCATCAAAGTAAAAACCTGAAATACAACAAACCTGTTATTGCGAACTGATTAACAAATTTGTAACAAGATTTTATGAACACCCAGCTGTTTTATACATTCTAATATTAATAAATATATAATAACAATTTTTGCTACGATCATATCGCTTTCGTATATTCCGAAATTTTTTGAGCATGAAATTTGCTATCACTGTCAACTTTTTGTGTACTTTGAATTTTAGACCATTGTTGTGAAATAATTTGAAAAAATATTGAAAATAAATTATATGTTTTTTCAACAAGGCTTTTTGGCTATTATAATGAGCTATAAACCTTAGGCAGAAACGAAAAAATTGCGTAGATAATAATAAGCATCTAAGACAGAGGTCGGCAACCTTTTGTCGCTCGCGGGCCAAAATTAAGTCATTCGCAAGTCATTGGCGGGCCGCACATATTTTTAGAAAGTTGAAAAACCGAACGAATGATACTTTTATAACAAAAATCAAGCAGTGATACATCTCTCGAATAGAATATAGATTTATTTCCTGACTGCATCTCATAAAATTCCATTTGAATATTTTCAGCGCCATTGAACCCTTTGCACTTAGCATCAACTTTTATGCGTTTTGTTGCCATTTGCTTAATTATAATAAATTATATGCTCATTAAACGAGTACTAGTGAATTATATAGTTTTTAGGTTATAATATAATTTAGTCTAAAGAATATATTCGTCAAAACGGATGTTTTGTTACTATAATTTAGTGATGCGTCGCGGGCCGGATTATAGTGCTCTGCAGGCCGTAGGTTGCCGATCCCTGATCTAAGCCAATGTTTCTCAAACTCAAATCGTCTGTGGCCCATGGGCCATGATCTTCTATAAAATTACTTAGTTTAGCTTTCGATAGGTTTTCATCAGTTATTTTATGTGTCACAATCATTAACCCATTTACCGTTGTCGTAGAGTAGATTTGTCCAGCATGGGCCATATGTATGGCGTTAACCCCCTTGCAGTCACGTCATGCACAAATACAAGCCTCTGGTGTAGCATTACCTCTTAGCATGCTCGGCATAGGTTGGCAAATCGATATTTACATCATTGCCGTTTGGTGGTCAGCTGTCTCGGAGGTGGGTGGGGCTACCTGGGCTGTGCGGCTGGCAACCTTTACATTGAAACTGGCGAGTCGAGAGTATAGTTTGACAAAAGTTGGAATAAATTTTTTATTGTATGAAACTAGTGATAGTTTATCGGAATCACCACCTTAAGTCGATTAATTGACGATCACTTTTTTTGCTTCAATAAGTTACCCTATAGTTCTTTTAAAATTGTTTCCCGTGAAGTACCGTGGTAATTCCGTATTCAGTCTTATGTTATTCGTAATGTCACTTCAAATTATACTCTTTCCTAACAGCTATTACTTGAAAGCACACCAGATACTGTGGTTTACCATTGCAGTTGGCAATGAAATATGTTTTGGCTGAGTTAGCATTAAAATCTCTTTTTTTCTTCTGACATCTTTATTTTGAAACCTATTTTATGATGAATTGTTATATTGGGATAATTTGTTAACTTTTAACGTAAGTAGGCTTAGTGTTATCGTCAAAGAATAACCAAGTCCGTCTAAGCTGGGATTTCGAGACCTAGATGAATGAAGAGCATTGCGTCACCTTTCAAACAAGGGTAATCCCGTAGTATTTGTACCCGGTTGAGGTTAGGCCATAATTTTATTCCGATTTTCCTCATTTCAGTTCTATTACAAATTTGGGGACTGTTTGGTTTGGTGATGTGAATATGATCCCGTTACACAACTTGATGTAAAGTAGGCGAACAAAATTAGTTACCTCCATATTGGTATACATACTTCTGGAGTGCCCAAACAAGACCACATTCATGCTGCAAAATGACTGTGTACCCCTATATAAGTTAGGGCTATAGAAAACAGTTTTAAAAAATATCGGAATTGAGAAAATGGTTTGAATCTTGGGATCCCAAGTTGGAATAGATGAAAAAACCTAAAAAATTATCTACCAACAATACAACTATAAGCCAATGGTTTAGTGTAAGTCGAAATTGATTCATAGGCTGCTCTGAATGTGTACTCTCCATGCGGCCCGCGTAATATGCAATTTACTATAGTATAGTTTCAAAACCATTCAAAATGTGTACTTATGCGACATCATATGCAAAGATTACACAATACCGACATGACAAAAACAACCCTCTCAGAAATAAATCAGTGTTCCCTGCCCCTCAAAACCTAAACTAGAAAAGCATACAAATATTATAAAGGAATGAGGCATGCTATGTGTAGACCTATAAAGAATGACTAATAGGGAATAGGCAGTTTATTGCAATATTTTACGCCACATATCTTTCTCACAACTTTTCAAAGCGTACAAATAATTTGTGGGCTTTGATGAAAAAAGGGGAACATTAATTAAATCTGTGAAGCGCAATTACTACCACGTGAATTCAATCTTGCGAATAACATGAAATCATTATAGCGAACCGCACCTAACTAGTTTGCTATTACGCCTAACTGAAACTAACATCATAGTGAACTAGTTTGGTATTTACTAACCAGATAACAAAGGACTATTCGAGATAATGAATGGATTAGCTGACTGCTTTTAAGTAAATGGATATGACAGGGTGAATAAGGATGAAACGTGATGCTTCACCCATGGATATGAATAGAATGAGAAGTAGTGAATTTCATTAAGTAAAGTGGCTTTCCAAAAAGTATAACAAAAAAACATGTTAGTCCACTGGTTAGTTATCCATTAATCTAAGTACACAAGGTTTCATTGTGTGTAGACCTCACATTTAAACAATGGATCAGCTGACTGGGAAGAATGCTAAGGGGTTCCTTGCCAAAGGTGAAAAGGGGGGGGAAAAAGATAGATTATCTGATTCAGCCCTGACAGTCAATAGGATAAAACAAAGACAGTGAAGAAGGATGTAACTGCATTTTTAGCCTATGAAGGCGTAGCATATGCCCCCCCCCCCTTTTGAAATAGGAAAAAGTAATTTTCTGTATAATACATAATAGCCATTTGACTTAAGACTTTTGATAACCTATGTTTTCGGTCCACGAACCAGCCCGCTAGTTCGTACAGTACAACTTGAAAATTAGAAATTTTTAACACTTACTGCCTGATTTCCAGAATATATCAGCTCACCACATATTATTCTGGTATGTTATGTAACCAATGCTGCCATCAATATCAACCCAAAAATAAGGACACCAGGGAAACATAATAATATAATAACAAGGAAAGAAATGTAATAAATAAAATGTACTCATGCCGGTGTGACCCATGTCTAATCATACTTTGCACTAGAAAGGATTTGGCTCCGCAGTTCTTCATTCTTATAAAACTATCTGTTCCATCTCACTTTTAAGTTGTATTTTGATTCAAGTTACACGAACTGATTTTGGCCGGTAGTCTATTGTTTTGTCATTGTGTCAATTAATTGCCTGTTATTACATAATGAATGCGCGTAGCAATCAATGAAGTTGTAAAATATCATTTCTAGCAAATTAATCATTCGAATTGACCAATCTAAGTGCCTGGTATAAAGACACATGTCAAAATAAGGACGCTTCTTAGAAATATGGACAAAAATATTTTCTAAGACAAAGACCTTCAAAATAAGGACAAATCTCAGAAATAAGGACGTTATGGCAGCCCTGTATATAAATAGGGTTTTACCTTGATGAACTCCAATGACCTCTACTAATATCATGAAAACTCATTATTCATCATTGTATTGTCCAGTTATTATCAGAATATTACAATTTAACTAGTCATGAAGCTGCCTGTTTTATTGCTTGTGGCAGTGGTCTTACTTCTGTCCCACAATTCATTTGCTGAAGAGATAAGAAGGCGTGTATATGGACCTTTGAAACATGGAAAATATTGTCTAAAAGACTATTTCGAATTTGCAAGGGGCTGGTTGGAGGAAAGGTACTGCAAAAAATGCAGAAGAGGATATGAAAATAATGATAAAGAACATTCTAACACATGTACCAAGTGAGTCAAACATTTGAAAGTTGGAGGCCTGATTAGATTGCTGTATCCACCACCTGTTGGAAGGTGGTTATAATAACCGAAGTTCATGCACATGATTTACTGTATTTTTCGGCTCAAAGGCCAACTTATCAAATAAGACAAAGCCAATTTTTAGCACTAAATATGAATGAAGTTTTTCCTATATTACTGCCCAGTAAATTGAATCAGAAAAATTTTAATCAATTCTATTTGGCTCATTTTTATCATCAATTACGGTACATGCCAATGACCAAAGTGCTCTCTTTTTTTTAACAAGTTTACAGTACATGCCCCAAAGCCGAAGAGCCTTTCTTTCATGATCTAACACACCATCCGAGTTTCTAAAATTCATTGACTCACATGAAGGCCATGGAGCGTTTTTTTAACGACTCTCAAACACACATTTTAGTTCGAACGAGGCCCTACATTAGCAGACACTAATGACTCATGATATGTACATAATTACTTTTATTATTTTTTGAAAGGGTACTCCCTGAGTATTGGAACTGATATGGCGGGCACCAGAACGCATTATGTGTACCAGGTTAGGCCATAACTTCATGAACAAATACTAAGGGAGTCACCTGGCTAGTCCACGAACTCGTAATAGACCTAAAATAAGAAAAATTATGGCCTAATAGTAACCAGGTACACATACTATTTACTGGTGTTCGCCTTTGTTCACATACTTCAGAAGTACCTTTGAACGAACCAAAATCTTTTCAAATACTCGTTGCCTACCCAATTTAATATACCCTAGGTGAGGTGTGGCCACATAAATGGCCTGATTAAACAATTCGCTGGTAATATTATGAAATAATAGGGCGTACATACCAACAGTGAAAAGTCCAGTAATGCTCTTCAG